CTCCCTTCTATTCTCTTTTAATTAATTCTGAATAACTGCCTCCCCTTTTTTTGTACTCACTGTAATGCCAGTTCTCCACCTGCCAAGGAACCTAAGGATGGAGACAGGAAAGCCAGATGTTACCCAGGCCTGTTTCCATACATGGTCTGTCAACTATTGAATGCTCCTCTTTCCCAGCAGGCACTGGTGCAATCTGCATAGTATCTAACAGAGCCTTGCTGCAAAAGTGGCTTGCTGAGTTGGGTGCAACCTCTATGATCGCTTCCTGACTGGTGGGTTGTGGTTGCTTACTGTGATGGAGAGGGGGAGGTGCCAGGGAGGTTGGCATGGTGCAGGCATACTAGTAGACCCAATCCAGCAGTCCTGCTACTGTGTCCACACCACACCAAACTTCCTGCCACCTCACACCTCTCCCTCTCATTAAGCAACAGTGACCCGGCTGCTGGGAAAGTAGTGTAGCAGTACCATGGCACCCAGTGAGCCACTTTGGTTTGAAGGTCTGTTTTCTCTTCCCACACTCAGGGTCGGCCTAAGACATATTGAGGCCTGGGGTGAAGGTCAAGATGGCGGCCTTTCCCCATTCCACATACAGAAGCTGACAGGCCAACTGAGGAAGGGGAGACAGGTCTTCAACCTGACCAGGGTGTGGAATTCTTTGTAATTTTTTATTGACAGGAGTTCTGCTTTTGTTATTACTCTGCTCTGTTACTCTAGTGGTGTCCAAAGTTTTTTCAAAGAGGGCCAGATTTGAGGAAATGAAGGGCCATGAGGGCTGACCAAAGTTGTTGAGCTTTTTTTAGGGTTGAAGTTGATGGTTTTTTTAGGATTTTACCCCAGAAAATAAACTGCCACAGGGGCCGTATTAAACCAACCAGCGAGACGAATTAGGCCCCCAAAACAGACTTTGGACATGCCTACTCTAGAAGAATGTTGTGGTGCTCTGTTTCTTCAGGTTAGTCTCTAAACTTTACATCGAGAGTAGCCAACAGGCTGGTGTTGCTGCAATGCAACTTCTATCATCCCTTACCATCCCTGGCTGGTTGGGGCTGATGGCAGCTGTAATCCACAACATCTGGTGAACACAATATTGACCACTGCTGAGCAGCTCCTACCCATCATTAAATAGCAGGTGCAGCTGTAGATTGTTAAGCTTTAATAATATTAATGTTGCTCCCTATAATGAACAGTTTTAATTAATTTAGCCTTTAATCATCACTTTTAATCCCACACTTGCGGGAGGGGGGAAATCCACGCGAAAGGGATTTTACTTCTTTCTTTCACTGCCTCAGCTCTAATCATTCGAGTGGGGTTTTTAGATAGCATTTCTTAGCTCGTCACACAGCTTAATGCAGTTTATCCGCTCTTTGCTTCAAGTTCTGATTATAACAATCCTTCATTATTTGCTTTCTCAATCTGTTGCTTATTTTGATCAGGTTAAGACCAACCCCTTCCTTTTCCTTTGATTGTTTTGGAAACAGTACATTAACTTGGCTGGGAAGCATTTCCTCAGAGAGATTTTTCTAAAGTGCTCTGCAGTAAAATCTGTACCATCTTGTATCTTGCACAAACAAGGACAGATTTTTGTCCTCCTCCTCTCTTATCCCACTTGGCAGATTTCCCACAGCTGATGTGACTGTCTTGTAAAGGGTGCCAAAATCTTCCTATTCTCTGCTCTTCCCTTTATCATACTTGTATCAATCTTTCAAGAAACAAACAGGTGAGGTGAGATGTGATGCAGCATTTTAATTGACATTACTCCAAGGCTTTTTGAGAGGTATGTGCCAGGCAGAAATTCAACAGATTAATCCTTTACCAGCATTACATCTCCAAACAAGCAATGGCTGAATCTTAAATTTCTGCCTAGTCCTCCAGGTGCTCTGCCAGGAAAAATAAAATGAGAAAACATAAAAGAAACAAGGGTGAGATCCCCATGTTATATGATACTCAGAGCTGGCACAGGCTCCTTCATCATGCTATGGGGGGGAGTGTTCTAGGGCCTTATGAACTCTTGCTTCTGCTGCTGCCTCTGTCAAGTAAGTTTGAGGGGAAATGGCAGTGGGCCCATTACAAGTCTGGTAAAAGCTTACCTTTTTGCTCAAGCTTTCCCTTACCCCCTAATATCAGACTTTTTATGCCTTTGAATCTCCTGGGCCTCTATTTTATTTGTTTTTATATGCTTTTAATGCACCCCAAAATGACCACAGACGCACTTTCTTGTAAGCAAGGTAGAGAATGTTCTAAGCAAATATTAATGGGACCAACTCAATGTTGTGGAAAGAGCAGAATGCCGTCTGGATGCCGGAGGTGGATTTAGGGCAGCTCAACTGGTTCTGCCGCACGGGACGCCGAGCCTAGGGGCCATGGCACAGTGTCACAACTATGTAATGAATTGAGCAGAACAGTGTTCATATAAGCCAAAAGGTTAGCAGTGATAAATCCAGTCGAGGATCAGGGGTCAAGGTTCAGATCTTCAAGATCAGTTACAAGGGGTTCAAGACTGCTTGGGAACTGTGAAGTTGTTTCAATGGGTTGAACACAAACTGAAGATGCAGGTGTGCAGTTTCTGCTTTGGTCCCAGGTTTCATCAGCAACCCTCCCATTTTGTTTGCTATGGTCAACATGGGAGTCCAGTTTACTAGAGCAGGTGAGAAATGAGATGGATCCTTGCAAGGACTGTTGAAAGGAAAATAGTGGAATCTACCAAAGCTCTCCTTCCAGACAACAATTGCAGTATGGAGATGAAATCACCAACTGGTTGCATCATGAGGTTCTGTTTGCCATTCTTCATTCTCCGTTTCTTTTAGCTGTGCTTGTTCCACACAATAGGTGAGCGCAGTGCAGTAACACTTGGCAGGAGGCCAGATTTGTTAGGAAATCAATGTTCTGTGTATCAGAGTAAGTCAACTGAGACATGTGACAAAAGGCCCACTGAAATGAAAACAAGGTGAGCAAAACCAAATCGGATGGAAAGGGTGACCTCCCAGTGAACCAAAATGTAAGCGTTAAAGAACTAGAGCAGGATGACTTGCTAAGGAAGAGCATACACTGAGGACATGCAACAACCTGTGCATGTTGTCCTGTTGACAATAAGGCCATCTTAGACCGTGCTTGTACAAACAGATTCTGTATGGAGGGCAGGTATCTGAGTTTATAAAAGACCTACTTGAACATCAACAACACGGAAGCAATGGTTGTGTCAAGTAGCCCCACCCTAGACCTTGCATGTTTCTCCCCAGATATCTGCACAAGCATCAGTAGGATTTGTGGTATGTATATGTGGAGGTTTACCTGGAACCTTGCTCATTCAGGTAAGTCTATACGCATACTTCCATAAATGCTGTATATGTAGACATCTGGGGAGGAACATTCTCTGTTACAGGGTGAGGCAGGCTACTTGCTCCCATGTCAGCATGGCTCCCATCCTTGCTCCCAAGTTGTTGAACACGGGAGCTAATAACCCCAGCACAAGGCTACGGCCAACAATAGATTTTAAATCTACTGTCATGAAGCTGGATACTTTCTCTTATTCCTCCTTACCTCACAAGGAACTGTTTCTGGAAAATGCTGGGGGAAATTATGGAAGAAACCAATAGAAGGAATTGCTATATATATTTTGGTTTGAGACTGAACCTATCTTACTGCGGCAAGCAAGACCCAAATAACAGAGGCCAGTTAGGACTTGACTAAAGTTGAGTGAGACCCTCTTGGTTCCCCTCGGATTGGCTCAGGGTTTCCCCAAACTTCCCCAAGCCAGTTCACAAACACAGAAAAGTGTTCTCTGCAATGGTAAGAGCCTTTGGAAGAAATCTAGCACATAAAGTTCTTCATGTTGTTCGAATGTTGCAAGTGGAATCCCTGATCTGGACCTTGTGCAGAGTAGAAATGAATTTGCTCTCCAACACAAGAATGGGTTTCAAAGGTTTACTGGAAGCAGTCTTAAAATGCTTACAGATAAATGCTACAAATTACAAGGTAACATGGCTCTTAAACAAGCAAGCAATGGGATCTAGTCTTCTTTTTAGTTCTTAATACAGTTCAACAAACTTTCCTCTCTCTGGTTCCAGAGGGCGAGAGATCCTATGCAACTTACTTGTTCAGCAACGCTGAGCTAAGTTCCTATCACTGCCGCTGGCTCCATCAACAGCTTTCACCTTCCTGCTGTCAGAAATTGTGCAGCTTTCCAGTGATGAGTCATCAATTAACCTACCCCAGCCTTTCCTTGCTGCATTTGCCTAGAGTTTAACCTCCCTTGCCTAATACAAACTTATCTACAGACACAATCTTTCAAGCACAATGCATACAAACATTGCATATTAAACTCATATCCTTAACACATGCTTCACCACGCTATTAGCCAGGATGACAAGGGTGGGAAGAACCCCTTCCCCATTTTCCTTTCCTGTTGTGGCCTCTACTGTCAAATGAGAAAAGGTGTGTGTTTTGGGTGGTGGTGGCAGCAGCAGCAGTAAAGGCAGCTTTGGAAGATGAAGCAGGATGATGGAAGAAAGGTAGCGGAGGAGGGGGGCGTGATCAGAATTCTCCCACCTCTTGTATTTTGAGCAAGCAGAGCGAGAATTCCAAAGCTTGTAAACCTTCTCATTCAGCGATGTGAGGGTGAGTAGTTTATGTGCTCCTAGAGTTTGCCTTCAGGTCCCTGCTGGGTGAACCTCACTGACATCTTTAATCCTTTCCCAAAGCATTGAGACAAGTAAGTGGCAAGGGCTACCTAGTGTGATGGTTAATAAACTCAAACCAATGGATTTTCAATGAATAAATAATTAAACGGAGAGAGAGAGAAAACCTATGAAGTTTAGTTACCATTAATGAATGGGAATATATTCTTCTTTTCTATCTGGGGAGTGGGGGGAGGGGTGGAAATCCTTAACATAATCAGTCAGGAGAATAAGAAGATCAGACGCTAATGAGATTGCTTTTTTAACCTGTTATCAGAATTGCAAATTCATGATGAGTGTTATATTATTCATTTATTTGGCTGATTTCTCTTGCACTTTCTATTTTGGGAGAGGAGGAGAATCTCTAAGTGGTTTACAGCATAACTTAAAATATTAAATACAGTATCACAGACTGTCTGAATAGGACATTACATATGAACAAAATGAAATGCAACAATAGAATAAAGAGCCACATTTACAGCAGGATCTTTAACAAAAAAACCAAAATATCCCCCTAAATGTCAAAAATTTAGAGGTAAAAATCAAATGTGAAAATGCAATAAAAATTCCACATATGAAAGCATTGTTACTGGCTAAACACAACAACAATAACAACAAATTTTATTTATATCCCGCACTCCCTGGCCAGAACCGGGCTCAGGGCAGCTAACATCAAAATATATGATACATTAAAACATTACACTTACAGTTTTGGCAACTCGGTCCACTCCAATTAAATAAAACCAAACAAATATGAGGCAGAAACTGCACCCCCCTTCCCTTCATAAAGTACGGTAACATCTCACCAGCACCTCCTTAGCACTTTCATACACACAAACCCTCACTCTCAGCCATTCCCAGCTGCCATACTCATAAAACAGTTAGTCACTAGCCAGCCATTTGTCAAGAAGCAAACATCTGGTCTACAAACAATCCACATCGACATTAAGTTCAATATACAACCAGCTCATTCACCCACCTCCATCTGGGGCAATACAGTTTGACACGCAAATATCAACATAGCCACTCCCTCCCTATCTCCCACCCAGGTAGCATCTTACTCTGTACTGCTTCATACTGAGTGGTATTGAGCCACTTTATAACACAAAAAACCTTATAACCCAGACTCTCATCCTTGGCAGCAAAAAACAAACAAATAAAAAACATGATTCCAGTTACTATCCAAAAATGCACCACTCACTTTCTCCTCCTGGATACTAAAGTCAACAATGCAAACTTCAATAAGCCTTCATGATGGCATCATATGTAGCCTTATAAGAAGTTTGCAACCCTGTTTATAAATGCCGATGAGTGAGTGCTCACAAAGGTATTCAACAAGACAGGCAACCATTTTCTGGTATTTTGTTACATAGAGGCAAAGCTTTACAAGAAAGTTGTTAGCTTATAGTCAGATTTTCATGGTGACATGCTTTGAACAACTGTCAATGATTAAACCCCCAGATGGGATTAATAAAACTATGCCAACCACACAGGAATGCTTATGCAATAAAATGTGGAGCTGATTGACATATGCATGCCCATCAGTTGTTGCTTCATCATCACTAGATGACTGGCAGCTGAATGTGTAATGTACCAACCATTGAAAATGGGAAATGATCTGATAGCTCTCTGGTGGATATTTCATAATGCCAGGATTCACTTGATGTTGCTGTCACTGAGTGATAAGCATGTAGTCTGTGTGAATTCACTCTCCACAGGAGAATGACGATAGTCAGAGTCAGCGCATGGTAACCTTTTCTTGTCAACAAAAAGAGAGAGACTGAAAGAGAAAGAGAGTATTCTCTGTTTTCAGTGGAACGCAAGGTTAACTATTCAGGATTGCAATCTAGATATTTATGGTATATCATCATCAATCAAAGGTTTAAACTTTAAGCAATTGTAACTAGGGATGCCAGAGAATTCCACCAGAGGCAGAATAGGGAATGGAAATTCCCACAATTCGTCGGTTCATTCGAAGTCAGGAACAGAAACCACACAAGCAAAATACATGCAGTATTTTCTATTATAATTTTTTTTATTTTTTATTACTTCCCATATGCTGTGTAAATAATTACACTATTTTCTACAGCATTTTTTCGTCTCTTCCACTGAAATTGATGCCTTCTCTGATGGAAAAAATCTGGGCTGGATCTCAGTGTCCGGGCTGAACGATGGGGGTTGAGATGCTCCTTTAGGTATTCTTCTTCAGCTGCTGGCAAAAAGCCATGGCATGTTCCCAGATACCAGTATTTTGATTTCAGAGAACTCTGTTTTTGGAGAAAGGAACATAACAATGACTTCTCCTGAGACCATCAGCCTAAAAATGTCTTGCTAGTCAGCTTCCAAGTCCCTAAAAAGACTGGAAGTCAAACACTCATCTCCTTTGTGACTCCTGCCTGCTAAAAGAATACACTGAATCATCCAATATATTTCTTTTTTCTCCCCTTTTGTTTAAAAATTTCACTGCTTCTTTTTGTTGTTGCCCCCGTCAAAATAGAGGCCACCCCAAAGCAACGTCTTGGAAGCTTTAATTTTTTCTCTCTGTTCTTGTTCCCATGGATACACTCAATTCAATTTACAAGAGCATTGGAATATTATCTGAGGATTACTGGGGCATGATACCATTTCAAAAAGGAAACACATGCCTGCCTGCTCTTGCTCCCTCACCTTCCCCATCCCAAACCCAGTAGATTTAGATGCACAGGCCGCATTGCACCCAGGTGATCTTCTCTCACACCATATTTGTAGGACACTGCTCTCACTGTTTACACTGAAGGTCTTTCCACCCATGATTCTCTCTCATTGTTGTTCCAAACAGTTGCTAGCATGATGTGTTTAATTGCATAAGCCTAATCATTGCAAGGTGGCTTTAGCAGGCTATTTATAACATCAGTGGATGTACTTCCCATGTAATATATGAAAATGTAAGGAAAACCTGGTGGATCAACCAATGAACCATCTATTCCTGCTTCCTGTTCTCCCAGAGGCCAACCAGATCCCTTCCTGTGGTTGATGGAAACCACAGGAGGGAAGATTGCTGTTGTGCACACACACAGGCAGGAGCTGTGCACAACAGCAATCTTCCCTCCTGTAGTTTCCATTAACTAATACTATGTGATTAAAAACAACTGGCAAATAGCCCTTCCATATAAGAATTAGTTGTATGTGTTATGTATTCAGTGGTCTGTGTTTGCCTGAGCTTGTGTCTGGACTAAGGATTCTGTTCTGATTCGATACATGATATCCAATCACAGAACATTTCAGGATTTGGGCCTCCGCCATTGGCCCTTAAACTCTGCCTTATGATTCGCAGCTTGGAAGTTTAGAAAGCCAATCACGTTGGGAGTGGGAGTGGCCCAGGCCTCCAGGAATGTATATAAGCAGTTGCTTTGCCCCTGTTGTCCAGTTATGTAGTTCAATAAAGGTTCTTTCTGTTATCACTGTGTCTTGCCTCGTGGGAACCCACCTACACTTCAGTAAGATGGCCCTGAAAAGAAGAAGTGTTCAACCTAGAATATATTTGTGGTGTTTGCCTGTTTGTTTGAAAAATGTCTGTACATGGGGAGAGAAAGGGTTAATATGTAAACCAATAGGAAAGCCAGAGGCGGAGCCTACCTGTATATAAAAGGGCTTAGCCCAAAGTTTGAGTTGGTTGTTGGTGGGCAATTGGTTGGTTTTAGTGGGTTGTTTGGTTGGGAAAGGCAGTTGGAAAAGCAGTTGGCAGGCAGTTGGAAATAGAGAGACAGTGCAGTGGGTTCTTGTGTGAGGGGAGGTAGAAGAGATAGAGACAGGATAAAATAAGACTAAGAAGGTAAAGAGTAACAACGTTTGGAATGCATTTAAAGTTTGTTTGTGTCTGAAATAAACTACACTCTTTGTTAACTTGAGAACCTGACTGAGACTAAGTGATTTACTGGGGAGGACCTGGTTGGTGGCAGCGGATTAGTGGTGTACGGGTCAATAGTCCGTCACGGGTCAATAATACTGCTCAGTCAACCACTGAACCATCAGTAAAAACTTAGAGAGCCTTGCTGGATCTGACCAAAGGCCCAGCTAATTCAGCCTCTTGTTCCCTACAAAATAGTCCTCTCTTGCTGTTTCCTAGTAGCTGGTATGTAATGCCTATCAACCATATCAACTCCATATTGCTATCATGACTAGGAAGCCATAGACACACCATCCATGAATTTGTGTAACCCACCCCCCTTCCCTCACTGCCCATGATAATGACCAACTGCAAATCTTGTGGTGATGGGCAAAATAGGGTGGGCAAAGAAAGAGTGAAGTAAATCCTATGATAGACTGAGTGTCAAAACTACATGCTATTAAACTGAGAGGCCTCCCACAAGAGGCCTCCCTCATCACGACCAGCATTTTGCTAGTACATGTGCTCTGTACTGAGCAGAGAGATCATCACAGCACCTCTTTCCGTGGCACACATGCAGCATGATTTGCAGCCCAGCATTATCTAGATCTGTTTTTAAGCCTTCATTTAGCATCATCGAAGCAGGCACCTGTATTTTCCTGGGCAAATCACGGAACTATGTCAGCTCATTTCAATCTCAAAAGATTTGCTGTGTTTTCCTCCCGATTGGAAGCTGCATCTGGTACAGGCTGTGAAGGAAACATAAATAATAGAATATTTTTAAAGCTGTAGGATTTGGTGGTGGAGGAGGAATCTGTGTGGCAGGGGAGGCATCCAAGTTTAGAGGAGGAGAATGGTGCTCTTGGGAGGAACACCTTGGCCCAGATCCGTAACTTAGGATGTAGCAACACCACTTCAGCTTCCTTGTTTCAATAGGTTTGTGGGGGTGGGGATAATATATAGGTCACCCTTGTGGGGTAATTAGTAAAAGAATTGGCTGGATCCCTAGATCCAAAGCACAGGGTTAAACACACACTCCAGCAACAGAGAGCCCCCAGTAGAGTTTAGAAGTCACCATTTTTTTTGTAGAAGAAAAGCACTGCTCAGTTTCTCATATTCAGCCATAAATTCAGTTCACCTCATTTCTTCAGCTACCTGCATTTTTTAAATAAAAAAACTCCTCAAAATACAACAGCATTTGAGCGCAAATTTCTCATAATGAACACAATTTTGTAGGCAGCTTTGACTAATGCACACATTTTTGAAAGGCATTATCCTCACTATGCATCTTTTTGTGCTATTTTGTACACACTGCTTTGTTGGAGAACTGCACTGCAAGATTCAGAAAAGTGCCCATTTTAAATGATAACTGTGTTTTGGTTTGCATATTGGTTCAAGAAGTGTAACTGGACAGCTTCTCATTAAAATGCAAATAAAACTGAATTTCTCCCCCAATCCCTTATTCTGAGCATTTATTTACATTAATATTCCTAGACCACTTTTCCTCTGATATGTCTTCAAGGTGGCTAGCAAAGTTTTATAAAATCCACAGTCAAACTATCAACAAATGAGGACACTACAGGGGGGAAACAGTTTGCACAACAAACCACAGAAACAAATCCATCAATACCAAAGACCCAGCTAAAGAAAACGGTTTCTTCCAGGAGAACTGGCAATTGAGGCATGACTCAAGAGTGATGCCACTTCCGAAGCCACCATTTCTTTTCCTCCTCAGCATATACAATTGCTTAGACATCCTTGTCAAATACAGTATCCTTCATACTCCCTCACTCATTCTGAGGCTCTGTGGTGTACCACTTTCCAGGAATGAGAAAACTTGTGCTAAAATAAGGAGGACTTAACAACAGGAATGATTTGTAGTGTGAGGACAAAACAAAAAGCGGTTCTGGCGAATGTTCTGACAGGAATAGAATTCGAAGTTATGACCTTGAGGAAGTAGAGTCCAGATGAAATACAACCGGTAGGACAGCACATTTCTTCAGCCAGTACTATAAGCCAGAATTCCTGAGATCCCTTGCCCCGTTGCTTTAGCAAGTCCCCCTCTGCACACGATAGACCCATGGTATGGATGAAACCTGTACTAGCCAGCCAGGCATTGCTCACCTGACTTCCCAATGCCAGACCCTGAGAGGAAGAGGGATGAGGCCACCCTGCTCTTGTCCACCCTCCCACCTCATGGACTTCAACTTCTTCCAACTTTTCCGTCCCGAACATTCACTGCGTGTGTTGGAACTTTATTTTGTTGTCTTTCCAGACCAAGGCTGCATTGCATACATGTATCACAGAATCCTGGGAACCTCAGCTTGCCCCTCACAGATTTACAATTCCAAGCACCTTTATCTAACTACAGTTCCCAGGATTCTTTGAGCAAAGCCATGTGTTTCTAAAAAATTATTAATATTTTATTAATAAACTTTCAGTCATGGAAAATTAAGTGTTTTAAATGTATGGTGTATGTGCAGCCCACTATTTCATCTCTAGCTTGCCTGTCACAGTGGAGACCTGTCAGCTTTTCTTTGTTTATTTCTCCAAAGGACATCAGTGTTCAGATGAGGCTGATGCACATGATGAGTCAGTCTGTTTCTCCTGCCTTCCCGAAGCCAAGCTGGAAACTCAGTGGGAAAAGTTTGGCTCCAGTTTAACATAATCTAAACCCTCTGAGGAAGCTTTAATGTCACTATCTTCTCAGAATGGCAGTTAAGGGTCATTCATCAGCTTCAAGTGTTTTAACACCATAAATGTTTACGCCAAGTTCTTATTCAGTCACTACATATTCTATCACTTACCAACGTGGATCATATCCACTGAAAGTGTTAGAAACATGCTATAAATACTTAAAAGTCACTTGGGGCTAGGATTGTACAGATGAATCTATTTCTGGTCCTCGACAATTTTGTTAGCAAGTCCATTTAACCATCTTTCTACAAATCCACATATTTTTTAAAAATTGTATTTAAATACAGATTGAAATACATACTAAAATATTTGTTTCACCACACACACACATGCATACATTAGAAGACAGAATCGGGATTCAAGATGACCTTAACAGATTGGAGAACTGGGCCCAAGATAACAAAATGAATTTCAGTAGGGACAAATGTAAGATTCTACACTTAGGAAGGAAGAATCAGATGCCTAAATATAAGATGGGGGACACCTGGCTTACTAGCAGTACATGTGAAAAGGATCTAGGGGACGTGGTGGACAACAAGCTTAACAAGAGTCAACAGTGTGATGCAGCAGCAAAAAAAAAGGCTAATGTTATTCTAGGCTGCATCAACAGAAGTCTAGCATCCAAGAGCAGTAATAGTACCACTTTATTCTGCCTTGGTCAGACCACACCTGTGTCCAGTTCTGGGTGCCACAATTTAAGTAGGATGTTGACAAGATGGAATGTGTGCAGAGGATGGCAACCAAGATGATCAAGGGTCTGGAAACCAAGCCTTATGAGGAACAGTTGAAGGAGCTGGGTATGTTTGATCTACAAAAGAGGAGACAGAGGAGATGTGATAGACATCTTCAAATATCTCAAGGGAAAATATTCCCTCAAGGGAAGAGAGAACAAGCTTGTTTTCTCCTGCTCTTGAGGGTAGGACTCAAATCAAACCAATGGCTTCAAGCTAGAAGAAAGGAGATTCTGACTAAACATCAGGAAAAACATTCTGACAGAGCTGTTTGACAGTGGAACAGACTTCCTTGGAAAGTGGTCAACTCTCCTTTTTTGGAGGTTTTTAAGCAGAGGTTGGATGGTCATCTGTCATGGATGCTTTAGTTGAGATTCCCGCATTCCAGGGGGTTGAACTGAGGGACCCAAGAGAGTGCAAAGTTTGTCAGTTTGCTTTAAAACATGGGGCAGATTCATTGGGTCTATGTTAGCTACCCCTGAATGCTCTGGGATGAGTTAAATGTGCAGTCCTGTGGCATGGGAGTCTTTTCTGCTACAAATCTATTAGCATAGGCACTTTGGAATGCTTTCTAAGGGCGCAGTCTAATGTTTTATTTAAACCCCCGCCTTTCCTTATAAAGAAGGGCTTAGAAATAAGGGCCATAACATACAAAAAGATTAAAAATACACACAAGAATGAAACAGAGCAGCAGGCCAAGAGAGAAAAACAAGTTAAGATAGTGGGGAGGGGAATCATTAAAGCCCCATTATAAAGCTTCCCAAGAGAGCATCAAAGGATGGGTGGTAAAGTCAGGCATTAAAAGTCTTTTCAGAAAGACTTTAAGCTCACTGCAGAAAGGCAAGAAGGAGGGGGCAAAGAGGCCTCCTCCGGAAGGGAGTTCCAGAATCTGGGTGCAGCAACGGGAAGGTGCCAATTCCTTCTTCCCATCAAATGTGAGCTTGTAACTGAGAGGAGGTGTTCTTTAACTATTTTATTATTTCCTGATGTGTGGGCAGATTCATTGGAGAAGAGGCGGTGCTTCAGATGCCCTAGCCCTGAGCTGCATAGTGCTTTAAATGTCGTTTTACCTCATACTGGGGTAATAAAGTATGTACAGTGGTACCTCGGGTTACATACACTTCAAGTTACATACGCTTCAGGTTACAGACTCCGCTAACCCAGAAATAGTGCTTCAGGTTAAGAACTTTGCTTCAGGATGAGAACAGAAATCGTGCTCCGGCGGTGCAGCGGCAGCAGGAGGCCACATTAGCTAAATGGTGCTTCAGGTTAACAACAGTTTCAGGTTAAGAATGGACCTCCGGAACGAATTAAGTACTTAACCCGAGGTACCACTGTACAGGGGGGGGGGGAATCACATGTGCTGTTGGGAGTTCTTTCACAATATGTATCAACGTGCATCTGTTTAATTTCAATGAGACTAACATAGTTTTGTTATTGATATCTGCATTTTTCTTTCTCACCCTTTCTTTCTTCTCTCTCTCATTCTATTTTGTGGTCATTTCAATGACGATGACTATATTAGACTGTAAGATCACTTTGCAGTGTTCAAAATTTCAAACATTTTTTTTTTATTGCTGGTGTGGAAAAAGTTCAAGAGCTAAAGAAATATATTCACCCACACCAAATCAAAAGCTGAACTTTGAATTGTGCCCAGAAAAAACAGGAACACTAACTAATGCACACATGTGAAAACATACATACGAGTGCAAAATGTAAGCTAGCCAGGCAACCTTTTCATAGGCAAGATTCAAGATTCACAGGATAACCCAAAGCAGACATGGGGTTTTTCTCTCAGTTTCTCTTCCCTATACCATTTCTGGCTTTGATTCCTGCTGTGAACAGATTCTGAAGCTCTGAGTTAACTAAAACTGTCTGTCTTTCCTACATACATCTCTTTCTGGCACAGTGAATGACAGAGGCATTGTCTAAGAACCATCCACCAGTTTATATTTAGCAGGATTTTTTTCTGATTAAGTTTTGTCGCAAAGGAACAAATTGTGTTGCTCATCAGCATGTACTCTACCCCCCCTCCACAAAAAAACCATTTTAAACAAAGGAGGTATAAGTGCTGTAATTACATAACTTGCAAATAATCAAATCACATCAAACTATTAGCAAAAACAATTAGTGCTAAATTACAGAAGTTTGACAATTAGTGACAGGTGCAAACTCGTTGGCATCCACCCCCTTTCACTTATAATTGTCCTCCTCCATGTTACACTGTGTTCTCCTTTGTCTGCAGAGGGACTGAAATGTCGAAGTGCATCTCTAAGTAATGGGTATTGCTTATTCCTAGGGAATTGTGGGAATTGTAGTTT